ATAAATCAGGAGTTTGGGACTAACATATACACACTACGATACATAAAACATAACTGACAAAGACCTACTATATAAGCACAGGGGGCTCTACTCAATATTTTTGCAATCACCTAAAAGGGGAAAAAAAAATTGAAAAAAGATATGTGTATATATAACTGAATCACCTTGCAGTACACCTGAAACAGTGTAAATCAATTACATTTCAATAAAGAAAATAAAACAAGTGTAGATGACATGAGGGAAATAGAAAGTTATCAGAGCAACTTGTTTCAGACAAGATCTACAGATAGATGCTAAAATTAGTGAATGAAAATTTCAAGAGAAATAGTCTTAAAGTAACTCCCTCAAGATATGTACTAATTACAAGGGGGAAAAAAGTAACTTTCAGTGCATATATTCAGAAGACAACATGTTAGCCAAGAGATCAAGCTGAACGCCACCAGTAATAAGACATTTTGATGCCATGTACCATTCAATATGATGGGCTGAGCCAGGGCAAACCACATGTGGGTATTCTTGTCCAAAATACAAAACCTCATTCTAATTAGGATAAAACATCAAACAAATCTAAACTGAGGACACTCTACAAAAATAATTCACCAGACTCTTCAAATGTGTCAAGGTCATTTATTTCTTAAATAATAATATTAATCAAGACCAAGAAACTAGCTCGGATCAGAGGAAGCTGGCAAGACAAGACAATAAATGGCAGAGCAGTACCCAGGGTGAATCCCGAAATAGTGAGGGAACCTGAGTAGAAACACCAGCAAAATGCAAATTAAGTGTTAGTTGAGTTAATAGCATTGCACCAATGTGAATTTCTAAGACTGGGAAAAACACATCTTGTTAGTATCGGGGAAGGCGGGAGCTGCACCAAGAGTTCATGGGCACTCTGAATTATTTTTGTGACTTTCTTGTAAGGTGAAATTGATTTCAAAACAAACAAACAAAAAAAAAAAGGGAAAACTCAAACTTCCCCAAGGTCACAGCTCCTTATGGCTGTCTGAATTCAAACCCAGTTTTGTCTGATTCCAAAGTCTATGTTTTTTCCCCTCTGCCACACTTCTGCATCCAACCCTGCACAGCCTGCTGTCTCAGAATTGGCTGAGACTGGACGAGGATAGCACTTCCAAATGAATCATTCGATGGGAAAAACTGGCGGCACAGTGAGGCACAAACCCATTTACTTTAAATGGGGAAAGTGAGGCAGAGGCCCATTAAAATGTGCATAGGGAGTATCCGCTCTCAATGCCAATTTATGATGTGGCTTCTTGATTCTCCGTAATTCAGTTAAATTAGTACAAGACTACACATCTCAACCTGCAACCATATTGTCACTTAAAATGAGTGTCTGGAAGGCCATCCTTCTGGGAACATTAGTTACCTTGTCCATTGCTTACTTAATCACAGCTTGGAGTTTTTTTTTTTTGCGCCTTGTGGAGGCTGGCTATAAATTATGGGCTACAACATGGCAAAGTCACACTTAGCAAATTATATGGCACGGGAGAACCCTTGCTTTGGGGCAAAAAATTACATATTTCTTTAAATGTATGTTTTAGCAAATATTATACTGAGCCTATAAGACAAAACCTGTGAGCACATTTTATGGCCTGTAGGACATATTTGACAACTGACTCACATCTCTGGCCCGTTCATAAATGAGGGGTGGGTGGGAGAGTCCTATCTGAATTCATGTCGGCAAGGCCCACAGTCAGTGAATTTCTACTTGCAGACCAATATGATGAAAGGCTAGAAATCCTGTCGGTGATCGCACGTGATGCAGTAAATAAACTAGCCAAACACTGTCTTAAATTTCATTTTGAGCAGCAGTCATAGACTAATAGATACTGTTTTCTCACTGTTATGAATGAGCTCCTTTATTGTTATTTTTTAAAATAAGTCCAATAAAGTACCCTGGGACTGGATAAGCATGACAGCCAGATAAGAAGAAAGCGCCCGCTGCAGGGTTATTAACTAGGAGGAGATGAGCACCCTTTGGAATGAAGGTTTTCCGCTTGCCTGTTGTCTGCTGGGCCGGAAGGCTCCTCAAGGAAGTTAGGACTCAGCGCCTTGGCGGGCCAGTCTCTGCTGTCGTGAAGGCCGAATATTCTGCGCAGCCAGCCACTGCTGGCTCTGACCTCGTGGTGGACGGTGCCGGGTGGGCTGAGCGGGGTCACTGGAGCTCACAGCGGGGACACTGTGAGCCGGGGCTGCAGCCCACTCCAGCCCGCGTCCTAAGAAGCTCAGGCAAGTGGGAGGGCCCTGTGGTTCCGGGATGTTATCTTGTCAGGCAGCCAGTTGCCCTGCTGAAGAGTCGGTGAGATCTTGCTTTAAGAATGTATGTTTTAATTTGAGGATATTAATTACATGGGGATGATTGGACTCCATGATTTATAACCCGCCAGAATCCCGCGGCCTCGCCCTCCATATGGGCCGCTGCCATTTTCCCTTTTGTATACCTATCATTTCCCATTGTTTATCTTCTCTGATTGATGCTCCGGCTCGGGATGTTTTCTATTATGAGATTCATAATTATCACTGGTAAGAGAGAAGGCTTCCCCATTATCTTTGGCGAGGCTGCCCAAATTATTCACTGTAGCCCACTGGTACCACACCGCAGGAAAATAAGAATTTATTTCTCATCCCAGGCATATGGTAGATAAGAGGATGTATTTATTTCTCCATGTTTCAAAAGGATTAAGCTTGGAAAAAATAAATATCACTTAGGCTGTCAGTAAGCAGAACTTTATGGGTCTGAGTTTAGAGGGCCTCTCTTGGGCTGGGAATAGCAAATCTAAACTCAGGTTTTAAAGAAGAAGAGGGAGAGGCTAAGGAGGCAGAGCATCAATTATAGTTTTCCTTGGCTAAATAAATGAATGTTATATATTTTCAATCACTCTATCGGTCTACAAGGCACCCAGGACCACCCTAGACCCCCACATGAAGTTAAATAACGCAGCAGGCTTATTTGTAAAAATGTTACTGAATTCCAACAGTCCTTGACCCCTGGCTATTCTGAGAGCACGCTGAATACATCATCTGGGTTTTGCCTAATTACACATAATTAGGAAACGTAATTATGCTTTTCAATGCTGCTCCACCACTAGGAGCTGAGTGGACAGCTGAAAAACACGAGCAAGGATTCAGTGCTTCAGAGAAAACAAATTAAAAATACGAGCCAACCTCTAAAAACAAGGAGTGCACCGAAGATTAGTAAATCAAACTTATAAAAAACATAATAAAAAAATTGCTCTTGGCTCTGGCTAAATATTTGATGCAACAGTGATGCTGGCTGCCTTTGTATTGGGGACTTAGCTTAATGATGTATCATTTGCATCTGTGCTGAGCCAGGGAGAGGGGATAAGTAACTTCACTCCTCGATTGTTTTGATTTGCTAACTTTCTCGCTCCTTTATGCCTTTTCATTTTTACTTCCTCCTTTAGACTGGATTCCCCACTCGAGTTGAGCAAGGGACTCCCAACTAGCCCATAGCAGAGAACCACATTTCGTTCACGGTTTACTGCATGCAAAGGGTGCTAATGTCCAAAAGCATGGGCAAGTCTCAGCCCCTGAGCTGGGCGTTCTCCAGCGAGCAATGGAGGAAAGAGCCCTTGGCTTTCCAAATCTACCAAGCAACACAGACTACAGGCACAAGTTCATGAAGGGCATGGGATTGTGAACCTTCTACACTCCAATCTTAGCTTCTGTTGAATTTCCCTCTACTGTTATGGTAGCTGACAGTCATAGACACACTCCATTAAATGCACTATTTATGGAAACTTTTCTAGGGTACCAAAAAAAATGAAAAAGAGGAATGATTGCCAAAAGCAAAGGCTCACACACGAGTGCAGGAGGTGTAGGATTTTGTTCCTTACTGCTACAGTGAAACAGCCAGCCCTGCTAAAAACTGCCTCTCCAATCACCAACCCCATGAAAGAAGTGGTGTATGTGTGTGTGTGTGGGGTGTGTGTGTATTTTTATATATTAGGTTTCTGCTTATTTCTTTCTTGTACCATGAAAACTTTCTTTTAAGCCTGTCTTCATACCATCTTGTTTTTGACATGCATCTTTTCCAATCATCTTAGATCCTATAACATCCACTTCCACCTCTGCTTTCTTTCTCCTCCTCAATTGCTGATTGACTGAATACGTTGACTCCAAGAGGAGTCAACTCCCCTTGGATTATTTTACGAGACACACCTCTGCTCACTCTGATCCCATATTATGACACGCTTCTCCCGGTCACCTCAAAGGGCAGATGTTAGTGACACCTCAACTTTCTAATGTGACTCTTATATCTCTTCTCCCCAAGAGAAGACCTGGGCCCCTACATGTCTGCAGGCCCTGTTTGGTGGTGAATTAGATTACTTCCACTGAAGCCCAGCAATCCAAGACCCTCCTTTCCTGGTTGAGGTCCTGAAATGAAATTCATGAATAACATAACCTACCCTCCCCACACACAATTAACATGAAAATTCTTATGATACCCTCACTTTACAGAAGAAGGCTAAGTCATCATCCCTCTTCATTACAACCACACCGCATGGCCAGGCACTCCTGTACAACAGCTTGTTGGTGGACTCGAATGAGTCAACCAAAGACGTACTTGAGTCTTAACTGTGTTATACCTTACACCTCCTCTCACTTAACCCACACTGGGGTCTCTCTTTTAAAATGAGAACAAAATGAGGAAAGCATGGCCCAGAGCGGTTCATGGTCTCACAACACGTCAGGCGGTTAGGAACAGCACAGTCCGGATCAGCAATGGTAATTATTCTGCGGGCTTGCCTGGCGGCTCAGATGGCAAAGCATCTGCCTGCAATGCTGGAGACCCGAGTTCGATATTAACAAAATATTCCATGAGTGCACAGTGGGAGTCAGCTGTGAGGCACTGTGGACAATGGGATCCCATGATGATAACGATTTAACTCATTCACCAATCTGTGTATTTGCAAAGCAAGTCTACATGCGTCAGCTCATTTAAACTTCCAAATGCCTAGGAACTTACTAACTCGGCTGAAAGAAGAAACTGAGACTCAGGAAGGAGGAGGAAGGGACTTGCCCTGGCCACCCAGCTAATAAGTAAGTGGTCACAACAGAAAGGAAACTATGGGAGGTTTCTTTTTTTTTTTTTGCTTGCATTTGCTTTGAGGCTTAGCTAGTGCCTGGAATTGGGAAGTCATGCAAAAGACACCTGGGGGGAGAGCTGGTCATTGGGAGCTGGGGCTTTCAAGACATCCCCCCACCTCTTCCTTATCTCTGTTTGATTGTCCCCAACCACACATGTCACTTGGCAGTAACATCGACCAGGGATGGAGGTGACATAGCAGATGGCCAGCCCCCCTCAAACCTAATCTTATTCTGCTGGCCTTACCCCAATAACTGTGGGAACTCAGGGAAACTAAAATGGGAAAATAAACACGTACTGACAGTCTGGGATGCAGCTCAGTTACCTGTTAGCACCAGGAGGCGGGCTGGGGAGGTGGCTACAGCTCTGCATGTGACATGAGCTCGTTTCTTACCCACAGCCCCTCGGCTTCGTTGATGGGCACCTTCACGCTGCCTTTTCACCAAAGCCATGCCGGACCAGGAGGGTTAAACACAGCCTCCAGAAAGAGGAAGAAGCCGAGAGAGAGAAGGAGGGAGACCAGAGAAGAAACGGTGACTCTCTCTGGGTGGAGGGATCAGAGGTGAATTTTTTCCCAAATGTTCCACCACTTTTTTTTTGAGAAAGATTCTTTTTAAAAAAAAAAAAATATATATATATATATATCTATCTGTTTGTTTATTTTTGGCTGCGCTGGGTCTTCACTGCTGCGCGGCTTCTCTCTAGTTGCGGCGAGCGGAGGCCACTCTCCATGTGATGCACAGGCTCCTCGCGGCGGTGGCTGCTTGTGTTGCTGGGCGCCGGCTCCGGGCCGCGCAGGCTCAGCAGCAGCGGCTCCGGGGCTCCGGAGCCCAGGCCGAGTAGCTGCGGTGCACGGGCTTAGCTGCTCTGTGGCACGTGGGGTCTTCCTGGACCAGGGATCAAACCCACGCATCCTGCACTGGCAGAGGGATTCCTGACCACTGAGCCACCGGGGAAGCTCCCGCCACTTTTTTATGTCAAACTTTTAGTTTTTCTCGAGAGAACCATGACAGAATGAGTTTGTATCACAACCAAGAAACTGATGTGACGATGGTCAAGCTACTAACCGCTGTCATCCCCACCAGGATCCTTCACTTGGCCCTTGATCAATCAGCCACCCCCGCTGCCCTCTGACCCCTGCAGTCACTATTCTGATCTCCATTTCTGTAACTCTGTCGTTTCAAGATTGTTATGTAAATGGAATCATGCAGCACATAACCTTTCGGGATTCTTTTTTTTTTTTTTTTAATTCCCATTATTCTGTGGTTCTTTTGCAGTCAAAGAAAATATTCTGTGTCTATGTGTGTGTGCACAAGGCATCACCATTTTAAGACTCAACTGTGGGACCTCGCTGGCGGTCCAGTGGTTAAGCATCCAGCTTTGATCCCTGCTCGGGGAACAAGGATCCCACAAGCTGTGGAGCACCTAAGCGCATGTACCGCAACTAGAGGACCCGTGAGCAGCGGTGAGGATCTCAGGTGCCACGACCAAGACCTGCCACAGCCAAATAAGTGAATAAAAAATAAAAAGACTCAACTGCCTCTTGCGATGTCTCAGCAATTCAGTGTCTGGGAACTGTCAGCATGTCCGCTTTTCCTGAGACGTGACCCTCGATCTTCTGGTGTTTGGTGTTTCTGTCTCTGGGCTGCTGGCATGCCGCGAGAACTAGCCACCCCCCTTCGTTTGACACCTGGCTATGCCTCCTGCAGAGGACCGCCGTGTAGCCCCGCTCCCTGGCTTTCTCTCCCCACCACGAGAACGCCTGTCCAGAGCAAAGCCCCACAGAGTTAGACACGGAGGCGCCCAAGCCACCAGCCTTCCCACAACCCGTGATGCAGACAGAAAAGACTGTGGCCAAAACAGGGCTTCTGCCTTCTCCTTTGGTAGGGTGCTCTAGAAACCAGGGTGAGGTGGCGTAAAAAGACCTCTGGAGCCTCAGGAAGTGAGTTCTCCCAACTCACGGTGTCTGTGCCCTTGAACAGGTTCTGAGACACAGTTTCTTCAACTACATGCCTTTATCAATTTTATTTCTGCAGAGTGATTATGGAAATTAACTAAATTAAAGGTAACTCCCAAACCACCACGCCCATACATATGTGACATGCCCAAGTCCATGAGACTTATGGCTGTTGTCACTGCAATACACTCAATCTTAGCCCAAAGGCCAAGAAGCAATGGTATTACTGCAAGTGAATCAAAGTGATACATATAAATTCACCTTGGGACATTCACTTTGGTTTCAAATCACTTTTTCTCTCTCTCCATCTCAGTATATAATACAAAATACTTGCTTCCCCCAAGAAATGGTTTCTAGGCAGGACCCATACGGACACCTCACTAAGCGGTCTGTATTAAATCTCCAATCTTGCATTGCTGGGGAAAAAAAAAAAAGTGTCTCAGTCCCAAGAAGTGTTCAGGTTTTGAGTGATGTCAGAGGCCTCTGAACAAGCCTTATAAACGACATCCATATTTGTCCATTTCTGACTTAAATTGCTTTTGGTTCAACCGCTGCCATGAATTGCCTTGATGCGGTATCATCCAGGATGACAGAAAACACAGAGGAAGCGGCAAGTTGCTGGCGAGGATTAGGAAATAAAGGAGTCACTGCCTCATCCAGTTCTCCAAGGGTTAGAAGCAAGGAAAATGAAACTCGCCTTGAAAGGTAATCTCCATGAACCGTGATAAGAGCAGCTGACATTTTACATAGCGCAAGCCTTCTAGTTCAGCCTGGCCATTCCAATAAAAGCCATCTACATACAGCTCACTGTTGCTGTTTTTTAAATGTTTCTACATGTTGCTTTGTCTTCTGCTCCTCTCTTCCTGCCTAAGCAGCAAAGAACAATCTGTTCTGGACCTTCTCGTTAATATGATCTGGGCTCTGGTTTCCAAAGCACTGGATGAAGGAGCTTCTACATTTGGAGAATAACCTCCATTTCTCTCTTCTACTCTACTTCCCCATCCATCTTTCATCTCTTTCTGCTAACCTCTGACTCTGGTTAAAAAGAAAAAAAAAAATGTTCTTGGCAAAGGTCCATCTACTGCCTGGCTCCCTCAGCTAAGAAATTCTATTTCATCTCAGTCCTGTGATTAGGAATCCAAACCACAGGGGCTTCGGAGGCAGAACATAATTAAGTTGGTCTGAATTTAGATACAAGATCTTGGGTTCCAGCCTCATCTCTGCCACTCGCCAGCTGCTACGCATGCCCGCGACTCACCTTCTGCACCAGACAAGCGGTCTAACGCCATCCACCCAGAGGGTCCTTGTGAGGATTAAACGAGGTGCTGCCTGCGCAGGGCTCATGGTGCTCACTCCCTGTCTTTCAATCTGCAGGCATGACTACATGCCAGGAGCAGAGGTGTCTGAAGACACTGAGGCGGGACCCCTCCTTCCCAGAGTCAAGGACGTGCCCAGCCAGAGCTGGTCCAGGCGGGTCCATGCGCACTGTGTTGCTCTGTCATTAGCTGCTCAGTTGTGTTGGACCCTCTGTGACCCCAGGGACTGTAGCCCACCAGGCTCCTCTGTCCATGGGATTCTCCAGGCCAGAATACTGGAGTGGGTTGCCATGCCCTTCTCCAGGGAATCTTCACAACCCAGGGATCAAACCCACGTCTCCTGCACTGCAGGCGGATTCTTTCCCACTGAGCCAGCAGGAAGTCCCCGCGTCCTGGGCCCTGGTGCAAATGGGAAACAGGAGAATTCAATCCCATGGCAGCGGCTGTCCAAATTGCAAAGAAAGATCCCTCTCTCCGGCTAGGGCCAGAGGCTTTTTCACATCTGTGGAAATGTGATGCTTGCTCCAGCGCTCGCCCTCTGTCAGGGGTCCTCACACAGACACACACACCCAGCCCCACAGGAGGCTCTTTCCAAGGGCTCTGAGCCCTCGAAAAGGGAGAATCAACCCAGGTGTGAAGCAAACGCCTACGGTCCACTGCCATTCCTGCTTCTGTGCAGAGAAGGGGCCTGTGATATAGATCGCTTCATTTTCATGTGTGCATACAAGGTCACTTTCCCAACCAATCAATAGAGCAATCTGAATACACAATTTTCATGTCACAGTGTATTTTGGAATTGAAATACATGGGAGGGAACAAGGACAGCGAGGCTTTGAAGGAGTCCGCTTCAGTAGGTGCATCATTTTACACTGTCTTCTAATTCATCTCAAATATATCTGATGATACATCTGAGATCCCTGCCTTTGTGGAAAGTCAGAAACAAAAACAAAGTACTTTGAATGAGTTAAGGTTCGAATTCGGCCTCTTTTCTTACTAAACAAGGTCCAACAGATTTTTCTAAGTGTCTCCTAGCAATATTTTGGCAATAGTTGGTTTTTTTTTCCCCCTCCATGTTAGTTTCTTCTTCTAGTCCAGTTTGTCTAACTCTTCAAGATGTAAGGCTAGTGAAGGATGAATTCTCCAACTACTGTGTGTTCTCAGACAAGTCACTTAACGCCTCTGTTTCTTCCTCTGTGAAATGCAGTTATAATAAGTGGTCTAGCCCTCTAGACCACACCATAGGACTACCATAAGGTCCAAAGCTGCTCTGTGTATGAAAAACTGTTAATATTTTTAAGTGCTCAGACAGTTTGAGTTCATGCCATGTCCAGCATACCTCCACCAATTTATAATTGCTTCACTAACACACGCCAGTGGACACTTTTTATTTTAAAGGATATTTCCCTTTTAAAGTCATCTTTGTGACTGAGCCCCTTTAAGAGGATTCGATAAGTAACTGATATGTTAAGTTTCAAGTCTCTATTTACTAATAGGGTATTTTGCATATCACTTTGAATGTTGTAGCTAATAGAATCAAAGTTAGATTGAAGTATCAAATAATTTGACTAGGCAGAGACATTTTACTAGAAGGCTGGCACTTGTTTTCTCAATAACACAAAGACCCCTATAATAATGAGAGGATTTTTTAAAAAAGCTAGAAAGAGATAAATTGGACCCAAATCCATGTATTAGTCAGTCATACTTGGGCTTCATTTCTAGAGCTCCACTTGCCTTCTCTGTAAAATGGGCACATTTACAACAACATCTAGACCTCCTGAAAGAACTGAGTCCTTGAAAAGACTAGAAATAAAGCTTGCTGTGATCACTCAGACAAATGCAGTATATATACATGCCTGTTACAAATAGTCATGATAATAATAAAAACTAAGCCATTATATTTATGTATTTCCCAATATTACTGGCTCTGCATAAATGAGTCTAGCCATTTGATACACGCAAAACACCAAGGTTAGCTTTCCTCTTTGTCTGCGTCCCCTCCAGGCCTTAAGTTTTCTGCCATACACAAATTCCTGAATCTATTTAGAAGTTGGAAGAACATCCAATAGCAGAACAAGGATTTCTGAAGCCCATCCTCTGCCTGCAACAAAGGAAACTACCGAAGGAATCCTCAGCAACTCCACTCCACATCCCAGACCCTGCACCTGCCAGGCTCCACCCCGTCTGCACACCTGCCCCCCCTGGAGGATTCGCTTTTCGCATTTCCTGTGTTTCTCTGGCTGGCAACTTGCACACCTCTCAGGGAATGGTGGTCTGCCTGGGAGCTGACGGGCACAGAGAGAGAGAGAGAGATGCAATTTGTGCTGATTTACGAGGTACACACACGGGTGTCCTGGAGGCCTTCCTGGGGCTCACTTTATAAATTAACCCCTTACTTCAACATTCTGCAGAGTCAGAACAGGCCAGGAGTAGATGGGGCCAGTGGCCCAGATTGGGTCTCCTGGTATTGGTGGTCACCACTCGCAGGCCCCTGCTCAGCATGGACAATGCTGATTTACGAGACTTGTGAGAAGACAGAAGTGTCTGCATCTCTTTGTCATTCAGGCCACAGCGTTCCTGGTCTTATGGGGCTCCAAAACACCAACTTCCAGCCTTCCGTAACTAAGGTGCACCCAAAGGCCAGCCTCGGGGCTGTGTGTGTGAGCAGCATTTGAATTTGACTAAGGATGGCTTGGCTTCATTCATTCACTTGTTCACTTGAAATGCTGGCCAAAGCCAAAGGGATACAAAGCAGAAACACCATACCTGGCCTCAGAGACTTGTACAGCCTGCCTGTATGTTATGCTAGGAAGAGCACAAAATCTATCAGCCAGCAGGGCCTGGCTGGAAGGCTGTCTCTTCCACCTATCAGCCGTGTGATTCTCAGTAACTTCCCAATCCTCCAGAAGCCTTGGCATCCTCATCTACAAAATGGGTATCATCCCACCCCATTTCATAGAGGATGCCTTGAGGAAATGACGCTCAGGAAATTGTTGTGAAAACTCTAAGCACTGTACAAGCATTCAGGATTCTTACACATGTGCCAGCAACACACAGGAGGAAGGAACACAGCAGGCAGTAAAGGAACAGAAAAAGAAAGTGGAAGTCACTTAGTCGTGTCTGACCCCATGGATTTTACAGTCCATGGGATTCTCCAGGCCAGAGTACTGGAGTGGGTAGCCATTCCCTTCTCTAGTGGATCTTCCCAACCCAGGAATCGAACTGGGGTCTCCTGCATCACAGATGGATTCTTTACCAGCTGAGCTATCAGGGGAGACCAAGGAACAGAAGAGAAAGGAAAATCAGAAACAGGCACGTAGAGCCTAGTGGCAGTATAATAACCTAGGGTCTGCACTGTATGCTGTGGGGACCACAACCCGATCTTCCCTTGTGGTGAAGCAGAATGAGGGCCAGGAGGCAGAGAAGGCAGGGGAAGGGAAGGAGATGGCCAGACTACCCAGCAGAAGAGAGAACCAGGTCTGTGTCGGAGTGAGAAGCAGTAGATCAGGAAGAAAGAGAGCGGAGAGAGCTGGTGTAACAAAGAGGGAGAAAGAGACGGTGCCGACACTGCTCACTTTGTGTCCTGTATCCTACGAATGCTCACAGGAAGAGTCTGATGGTGGGGGACCTACCACACTATTCAAAGATGTGACTTTTCAAAGCAGGTTTCTCAACTCTCAGGGGAGAAACTAAGATACCACTGGCGATCTCAAAAGCCACTGCTGTAATGGTTATAAAGGGCTAGTACCTGTCTTTGAAGAGCTTCTCGAAGCTCCTCGACTGAAGGATTTCAAGGTTCCCTCCCTGAAGTGACCGCCTCTGCTCTCCCGCGGGCCTCCATGAGCCCACTGCTGCAGACGGGGTCCTTTGCGGAGTCCGCTCTCCCATCAGAACCACTCCAGAGGAGGCGACGCCTTCTCTGACGCAGAGGGAAGACACTCCATGCCTCTGCCAAGGGCTGAGCCAGTGAACCTATCACACGTCGTGAGAGCCCGCGGATGAAGTGGCGGACTGCGGTCCAGTGAAAACATGCCTACAAGCTCGTGGACAGCTACCCCTGCAGAGTGGAGTCAGTTCCCCCTCTCCTTAAGCACAGTCTTTACTGACTCTTTTCCAATGACTAGAACGCAGCTGAGGTTTCAGTGTCTGGCCGTGTGCAATGTTCGAGATCAGCGTCTGAAAGCCGCTGGAGCATCCTCTTGCATCCTCTCTGAGGTCAGCCACCTGGCCAACTGCCAGATGTTGAGGAAGACCAAGTGTCTCCGTGGAGAGGCCCACACGGTGAAGGGCTGAGCCCCCCTGCCCAAAGCCACATGTGTGCACCAGTTTGGATGTGAAACCAACAGCCCACCAAGCCTGAGAGACCACAGCCCCAGCCAACAGCTTGACCGAAACTTGACGAGAGAGCCCGAGGCACAGCCATCTATCTAGGCTACTCCCTGATGTCTGACCTACAGAAACTGTAAGATACTAAATGCTTATTGTTTTAAACCATAAAGCTTTAGGCATAATGTTTTAAGCAGCAGCAGACAACTACTAAGACGACCTAGGAATGAGCACATGAATCCAGGAAAAACAGAAGCAACTCAAGATAAGAGGAAGGTCATTCAAGAAACAGAATTACACAGGGCCCGACAATGCTGCAGTCGATGGGGTAGCAAAGAGTTGGACACGACTGAGCGACTTCACCTTCACTTTTCACTTTCATGCATTGGAGAAGGAAACGGCAACCCACTCCAGTATTCTTGCCTGGAGAATCCCCGGGACTGGGGAGCCTGGTGGGCTGCCATCTACAGGGTTGCACAGAGTCAGAGACGACAGAAGTGATTTGGCAGCAGCAGCAGCAATGTCAGAACCTGTCAAGTGTGGTTCTCTCCCACTCCCAGCTCCCGAATCTTCTTGGAGGTTTCATTCTAGGGCTTGGAATGCACAGCAACAGGTGCTCATCAAAAGCTTCTGGATGTAATTCTAACAACTGCTGTTTTTGCAAACATTCAATGAGCATGTATTATGCCCAGGGATGACGCTTCATGCTTTTTAAGAATTTTCTCTTTTGATCTTCTCAGTGCTCCTAAACATGTAGAGAGCATTATGATCATGGTTTCATAGATGAGGGGGAAAAAAAAATTAAAGACAAGGAAGTTTAAGTGACCTGCCCGAGGTCTCACCTAATAGTGGGCAGCCCACTCTGACCGCGGCCATTGTGG